GAGAGAGAGAGAGAGAGAGAGAGAGAGAGAGAGAGAGAGAGAGAGAGAGATGTACCTGTCTATGTCCTGAGGACTTCACTGCGGAGAGAGAGTGCCACAGAGAGAGAGCAGCATTCCCAATGTTGCATATGTGAGGAATCAGGATGACCTCATTAAATACCAACTCCTGCTTCCTCAAAGTTCTGCGTCCCTCCTCCCAAGAAAGAGAAAAAGAAAAAAGCCTATGGTGGTGGTTCCTGAAAGCGTTCCCCCTGGCAAGTGGTGTTGGGTAACCCCGACCAACAGAACCTGGGTAACGCTCCGATTAGCACAGAGGATTGGATGTAATTCCTGAATCTGGACTTGACTGTGGAAATATGCAGAAAATTGCGATTGATCTGCTTTTCTGCATCTGTGCAGAAAAAACTCATCCAGAGTCAGGAATTTAATCCAATCCTCTTGGCTAATCATTATGGCACCTGATCTCTGGGTAATGGTCCCAGACGCTGACGGTTCTTCTTTTTTTTTCCCCTTTTTCCCCCAAGAAAAGGGATGATATTTCCTTCAAGTTGTTGCTCGGCAGGAATTCCTCATGTTCTCATGATAATGGATTCCTTGCTTTTTCCTACCATTAAAAAAAAAAAAAGAAAAAGAAAAAACTTTCGTCTCCCAAAAGGGAAGGAAAAAAAAAAAAAAAACGTTCGCCAAGGTTTTTTTTTTTTTTTTTCGGGGTTTGTGTCACTGACGGTTGCCACTTGCCAGTAACTTCTTTTCTTGAATTTCCAGCTGGATATAAGGCCTCACCGCACCTCTCTCTTTTTTTTTTTTTTTTTAATTTTAATTTGGACCATTTCTCGATTTATGCGTGTCATCCTTGCGCAGGGGCGATGCTAATCTTCTCTGTATCGTTCCAATTTTAACGGATGTCCCGAAGGACCTCACTGCACCTCTCACTGAATGTGTAACTGGAGAATGAATCTTCAGCTACAAAGTGGCACAATACACCCAAGATATTTTTGTCTTTTTCACATTTGGTGAGGTGGGGAGAGACCCACAGGTATGTACTAGGAAGTTCTTCCATCAGACGCCTCCATTATTAAACCATTAAAAAAAAAAAAAAAAAAAAAAAAAAAAAAAAACACACACACACACACACTAGTACTTGGCCCATTCCTGCACGCATGCGCAGCAACTTTAGGGGCCTCAGCGCAGTTGATAAATTTTAGGGGTCTCAGCGCAGTTGATAAATTTCATCAACGCTGCCCCTCAGCGGAGTTGATAAATCGTAAATTTCATCAACGGCCATTTTCGCATTTGCGGCCTGCCTGCGGAGGAGAAGCCCGGTTGCCATATTGAGGCCGCGGGTGATGTATGTATGGGCCGAGTGCTTTCTGGGCCAAGGTCCCGCTAGCAAAGAGGATCGGATCCAATGCCTGAATCCAGACGTGTTTGTGGAGAGATGCAGGAAATCGAGATTGAACGGCATAAAACAAATCCAGATTGAGGAACTTGGGGCCTCGTTAGACCCTCCTTGAAAAATCCTCAGGAATTAGGACGAAGTCCTTGGAAAATTTCAAGGAATTCGGCGGCGGCATTACACCGCGTCCTAAACGAAAGGCTCCCAAGGAAAAACCTTGGAGGTATCCCGTGGCCAATTTCATACGCATATACGAGGCCGCGGGGGAGGATGTCCGTCATCAGGCGTGGTCCACTGGCGGCGCAAGGAGGCCTGCGATGCTGCGCTGTGAAAAGAGGCGCGAAGGTTCCTTTTCGAAATTCGAATTTCAAACCGTCATGACATACGCACCGGCGCGCCGTGGCGTTACCACCGGGCCCTGGAGCTACTAGTGTGCGAAACGTGTGCGCAGACGATTTGCGGCGCCCATCGCTGTTGGCGACTCCTTCATTCGATCGTCAGCCGGCGCGGCACGAAAGGTGACGACGTTGGAGCGCGTGAAGTGGTGCGTGTCCCACTTTCCTTTTCCTGCAGATGACGACGATCCGGTGGCTCGCCATAGCTTCGCACGCCCGTCGTTCGTGTACGAGGAGCTGCCCTCAACCACTCCAACGTCCGCTGGGACAGTGTGCGACGAGGGTCGAGTCGTCCGTCTGTTGTGCGTGTTCAACAAGGCGCCGTTGGAGCATCGTGATGGAACACGTGTCGCAGGAGGTTCGTGGCAAGACCTTGAGCACGGTGGAGAGAAATGCGGTGGTTGCAGCAGTGTCGGCAGTGGCCATGCGATGTCGCATCGAGAGAACGACAGCGCGGTTGACGATGAGAGTGTCTATTCGCAGGCAGCRTGAGCTCCTCCACCACGTGATGGCGGCGCCAGACTGCGTGTCCATGTCCGAATCCATTATCCAGTTGCGCGCCGCCATGTCATCTGAGGTGATACCCTTGTCGCAGGAGCCTTCGATCCTCGGCCACCACGCGACTCGCCCCTCTGCTGACGTCCGCGTCCTCCCCTCCGCCCACCACGCGCAGCCATGGGTCGGATCTCCAGCCCCTCACCGTCTTCCGCGTCGTCTTCGTAACGGGAATCCGGAGACTCGTCCCCACTCGCCCGACAGTTGTCGTCCGCATCCACGTCGCTCCCCACACGCAGCCTGGACACACCGGCGGTTATGTTCTCCGCGGCAGCACGCCGCATCTGTAGGCGGCAGTTCTCCCACGCCTGCCTCCCGATGTCTTCCGGTGGAGTCCCATCATTGATTGCAGGACTTGAGGTCGCCCTCTGCCGCATTGCAGGCGAAGACACCGAGGGGCGGGTGGGTGTCACTGCCCTTGACGACTCGCCAACTGGCCCGGCGCCCATGGAACTCGAGACCGGTGGACGACACCCATTCGTCGGCCCATCGACACGGGGCGCTCCCACCTCCCCCCCGCCGTGGATCGGACCACTTGCACCACTCCCGCTGCACAATCCAAAATCCAAGTCCACAAGCTCCGTGGTGGCGTTGTCGACACCCTCCTCCAGCAATGCGGTGAATGACTCGCGCGTGGTCCCTGCTTCCCTCTGCTGGCACTGCCTGCTCGTCCACTCCTGCGTAGATCCACTCCCCAGAGGAAGTGTGTGCGACAGATCCTCAACCCAGGCGTCCTCCGGATCCGGCGGCAACGGCTGCTCGTGCGGTGGAAGATGACTGTACAAGGACGGGTCATATGCGGCAGGTCGATGGCCGGACAGGGGCCGATCAGGAGTGGAGAAATCCATCGCACGTCTTTGCTGTCCGACAGAGCTGTCCCGTTTGTCCATCGTCGTCTTCCTATCCACTTGTCGTCTCTGTCTACGCCCAGGAGGCAGCGGCACGACGAAGGCGCGCAAAAAGACGAGAAGAAGCAGCAGAAGAGTTGCCAGTACAGGAGCGATAGCCGCCGGAAGATGTCTGCCATGAAACGCACCATGTGTAGATGACCACCGAACGGACAACCCTCACGCGCGCACGCGAATGGCAGCAAACGGGCCGGCCGGCGACAACATCATACCCCGCACATAAAACAAATTTCGAAATATTCGACCGTTGGACACAACGCCCGACGAAGCGCAGAAGGAGAACCCCACCGCTCCGACGTCTGTCGCACCCGAAGCAAGACCCCCGGCCGTGTGCGCGCGAACGGTAACACCACAAGGCCGTTGGTGACCTTCCGCCGGTTGGAAGCCGATATTGTCCGCCCGATGGACCACGGATGTCATGTGCACCAGCAAAAACAGAAACTTTCCGTGTCGACACACGCTCAACGACGGCCCGTCCATCGCGGATCCTTGAACCCAAGGGACCTCTCGAGGACCCCTTGAATCCTAGGACGCAATGGCTGGGGATTCCGAGGGACCCAAGGAAATCTTTTGGGAGCGTTTTCACTTTTTTTCAAGGATTTATGTTTTTTAGGACGCGGTATAACCATAACTTTCGACATTCCTGAGGATTTTCAAGGAGGGTCTAACGAGGCCCTTAATCCTATTCTCTTTGCTAGTGGGACCTTGGCCCTGTTGGTTTAAACCACCAGTACCTGACCCAGCTATCGGCCGGGGAAAAAAATAGAGTAGAAAGGGGCCTATCTCAGGGCATACTCACACGGGGAACCCAAAGCCGCAAAATATGCGGATTTGGGAAGGGCCAATTTGAGGTTTTGGGTATGGTTCACGTCRCACTGCTGTACCTTTTCAGATGGGACAAGGTCGCGGCCGTCTGGAGAAATGGRGATTTGGTACTTGGCTGGTCACACGGCGCCATCCACCAATTGTGCAAGAACTTTTGTGAACGAATTTTTGTCAATTTTTGAAGACAATGCAAAAACAAAAAAAAAAGGGAATTTGCGTTTACCTCCAGAGGTGACCGCAAAATCCCTTCCCCGCGGCTTCCCAGGCCGCCGACAAATGGGCACTGGAATGGTACATTTGCGAATTTGGTAGATACGTGTGACAGGCGTTTTCCCCTTTTTTTTGGGATTTTGGGATTATAGGTCCCCGTGTGAGCGTGCCTTCAGTTGCTACACCCTTGAACTGTTGAAATGGAGACCCAAGTTCGAATCCAGCCAAAAAAAAAATGGAGGAAGCCTCCCCTTGTCCTGGTTTCCAGTACAAGTGGAAGCTGGGTGGTGCCCCCAATATCTCTGGGTATTTTTGTTTTATTTGTTTTCTATATTTTTTTAGGGGAAATTACGCCCGAGTCAGAAAAATGAGTTATAATTGCACTATGGGCCAAGATACAGTTCCCAATTGCAGTTCGGGCAACGTATACAACCCAGCTTTCTGGCCAGGGAAGGTGCCGGAAGTGCAATTGCAAACTGTATATTGCCCCATAGTGCAATTAGAACTCGTTTTTGTGACTCTACTACTGACCTTACCCCTTTTTTTTTTTTTTTAATTAGTTGGACTGAATGGTGATACAAGCAGCCACCCCTACCGTCTTCCCCGAACACAACGCACCCTTATTTTGGCGGTATCTGGCCGGAAATATAGCTTGTATGCATTCATTTTTAGGGTGCGATTTGTTCGGTGGAAGACGGTAGCTCCATCTATTGGTGGGGAGCAACACCTGCTGGAAATTGGATCCAGCGTCCCATAAACATCATTGAAATAGTACTTCAGCAAACATAAGTTAAAAAGGGAAACAGAAATGCCTCTTCAGTCACACCTGGGCCTGCCAGATGTATAGCTACCCTGTCCCCCCCACAACCGAACTAGAATTCAATCAGTTGTCTCCCTGGCCAAACCATTGTAATTCTACCAAAGTTGCCTCAGGGCCTCGCCACACCACTCTTGAAACCGCATTTTCAAGAGTTGGACGCGTCGCCACACAGCCACTTGAGAGTTGTAGCCCGAAAACTCTTTCGAGAGTTGTCAGAACCTCTTTTCAAGAGTAGCACTCGAAACTCGGAAACGCCCAGCCTGCAGCACCGCTCTTTTCAAGCGTCCTCCCTAGGGCACTCGAAGGGCCCTTGATTTTCGAGAGGTGTCAGGCCGTTATCCTGACACCATTCGGAAAAAACAAAGCTGTACGACTGTCGTTTTTCATCCTTTGTCCAACACCATCGCCCTTTCGAGAGTGCTATGTGGTGAGAGGCCCTAAACTCTTGAAAACCCAACTCTTGAGAACGTCTGACAGCTCTTGAAAAATTTCCCCGTTTCAAGAGTGGTGTGGCGAGGCCCTCAGAGGGGGGGGAAATGGATCTGGAAAAAAAAACAGGGGGTCCCTGAGAACAGCCCGTAAATCAATTTCGGAAGAGTCGGGAAGACCAGTTAGAAATTCTTCTTGAGAGGACCCCCTCTGTCTCTTCTGCCCCAGTCCAGTGTGCTTTTTATCAAGGACGGCTCTATTGGTTCCCCCAGCCAGTCTATTGTAAAATTCTGAATTGTTTGATAACTTTGATTTATCATTTATGTCTTGTTTTTGTGTGAACTTGTTCAATTTCTCCTTAGTAAATTAAATCACCCAATGGGCTCTGATTTCTGTTTGGACAAATTGTACTATGGAATCTCCCCATCCAGCACCCTCTAGGAGTCTAGGGTCACCTCTTCTCTCTCACGGACACAACATTTATATCACGAGGACCACATTTGTCCCAAAAAAAAAAAAAAAAAAAAAAAAAAAAAAAAAAAAAGATCGCTTTGCGTCCAATATCAAAGAAGTTAGATTGAAAATTAATGGGTGTGAACAGAAGAGGTTCCCAATGGCCAAAAAGGATAGCCCTCCAGTCCCAAGGCCAGTCCACCCCTGTAAGTGCCCTCCAGAGTCCAGACACGGTACCAGCATCTCCAGATCAGCACAGATCCTCGACATTGCAGAAAATTTATGCTCTATTGTTTCACAAAAGTTTCTACTTGGAAATGCAGACAGACAAGCTTTACACCAAATGAGGAAGTGTTATTCCTTGCTGCTCCAGTGTGGAGTGATCCACAATCCAGTCGTTAGTGGGCAGACATAGATGAATGATCTGCCATTGCAAAGAGGAGAATTTAGCTGGGCGCTGTCTAATATTCTGGAAAAATTTGATGTGTTTGATTAGATTTATGTCAAATTGAATGTTTAAATGCCTCACCCACCTCTCTTTTTTGAAGTTTTTTCTGAACTAAGCTACTAGATTGCTCTGAGATTCTCAATTCACCTTTCAACCAGAAACCACTACTCCTAACACTATATTCAGAAGTCCGCTGCAAGCATAGCTACCTCACAATGAAGGGATTGCATGTTGCCCTAGCCAGGGCATAGCTACTTCACAATAAAGGGATTGCATGTTGCCCCTAGCCAGCCAGGGTTGGGGCCGCTGGTGGGGGCCTGGCTAAAGCAACACCCAAGCCTATTGCCACTAGCTGTACCAGGTCCTCTCCCATGAACTTCCTCCACCCCCATAAAGTAACAGCAGTGTCTAACTCCAACACTTTCTTAGACACCACACACAACCCACTCACATCTCGGGCAGACAGCCAATGAGTCGGTGAAAATCCGACGAAACAGTCTGGCACAGTCGTGCTTTTTTTGAGTGTATAGCGGATATGACAACACACAATAGGGGCTTGCTAATCTCTCGGTTCGGCGGATCTATGTGGCTAGGGTTGGGAGAACTTGGGACAGTACTAGTGGTCATGCCATTGGATGTCCATGGCTGAGTGGGTGTGTAGAGTGGGTTTTATGACTGTGTCAGATTAGTTTCTGAGACGTACTGCCGTTCTTGTCAAGGGTTTGGACCCGCAGTCTGCTAGTATTATTGCACGGTTGGTGTGAGTAAAGGCGGCCACGTTTCTCTCAAGGATGGGTATCGCTAACTCTGGGCGATGTGCTGAGTCCTCATCCATGATCAGTGAAATGAATATCGGGCAGACTGTTGGGGTTCAACCTCCTGATGATTCGGCGAAAGTCCAACGAAACAGTCTGGCACAGTCGTGCTTTTTTTGAGAGTATAGTGATTCGTGAATATCACAAAACACCCACAGCCGTGTTGGCTCAAGACCCTACTTATACGGACCAGCTGGAGCAAGCGGAGCATCTCAGCTGGATGGCACCAAGCGTGCACCAGCCCATCCGTCAGCATAGAACCCACAACCTCCTGAATGCCACTTGTGTGCCTAACCAACCGAACAAGGCTGCTCTTTCGCTATTATGAGCAACACATGGGCAAACGGCCTGTGGCTCACTGCAGTGGGTAGGGGCCGTAGGGCACCTAACCACCGGTTGTAAATGCACATTGTGGTCTGAGGCTGCAGGTCCAAAACTCTGCACCTCTGCACAGACACACCGGCACGTATTTACATAATGCATGGTCACTTGCGTACCCCGTTGGGCTGACACACGTAAGCTATTACAGACACTGTCTGCGCACCACCCAAGGGATCGTCCATGGTGTTGTATATTGGGTCTAGACTATGCATGGCTTGCTTGTCCGGTCAAAGATCACTAGAATGGGTGATGATCCTGGGTATAATCAGGTACTAGGACCTTGGGAGTAGGGATGCGCTGGGGATCGTGATGATGAGTAAGGGTGGGAGGGTGTCTCATAGGGAACCGGATAGGCAATACATCGGAATGATCAAGTGGTCAGGTGCTGGCAGTGTGACGAACTACTTTCTGCAACCCCGCAATCTTCTACGCGAGGCTACAACGGGAGTTGACGTTGGTTGAGTTGGGATGGCCTCGTGAATTGTGTCGATGCCCTTGCATTATGCGTCCTTGTGCTTTCGCGTCCTTTTGGAAAGGGGGTTGGGGGCCTGCCTGGTCCCACGACGGTTGATAGTTGATCGCGCCTTAGCGAGCGCGACGAATAACGGTTGCCATAGCTTATTTCTTGTTCTGCTGTGGGAAATGGGAATTTTGGCGCGATTGTCGCGCGGGGAAATCTTTTTGAATTTTCAACTGATGT